TAAGATATCCAGCAAGTAAAGTAGACAGTGACTTGACTAAGCAAACTCAGTTCTCACAAATGTCTTTTAACTTTAAAATGAGATATACAGATTTTATTGTTCATTTCTGATGGTGCAAGTCTTCGATTATGTTTGCTAGCAACAACAATATACTAGTCTATTTTTTTTTGTTATGATCAATGGTTGCTTAATCAAAAAAAATTTTTGATGTATATCTCAAGTCTTATTAGAGAAATCATAGCTTAATACACCCATGGCTCTATGTATACAATAAAGATGTAATAGCATGTTTATACTTTTTTAATCGGTAAAATGTTTAGTAAATTTGTCAATAAACGAAAATAAACCGAAGATTACACATATTTAGACCTATTTGTATATTTAACTTTTTTTTCTGCAACAAAAAAAAAATAATATTTACAGGCTTTTACAGGAAGACGTGCGATTTCATGTCTTTATATGACCACGCAAAAAAAAAATGTTTTAACGATTTGACCACGGCATATTTTTAAAATTTGAAAACGCGCTACAAAAACTTACCTAAACTTATCTGAAAAAAAAATTTTAAAAAATAAATAAATCTTAACGAAAGAGAAAATAAAAAAAAAAACTTAGTTTAAAGCAAAAACACAAAAAAATAAATATATATACATAACGCATCTCAAACAAAACTGATCAAACTAAAATGCTTAGTCTATTTTATTTACGCATTAAAAAAGCTTTTCAATCTTTGATTCAACATTTATATATATTTTTTATTTGTTTAATATGTTCAAAAGTTAAATATTTTTCATAAAAAATACATAGTTATATAAATAAAATAAAAAAATATTTTATAAATACTTTTTTTTAAATTAATTACAAGTGTTTTTTTTTTACTCCATTAAAAACGTTTCGATAATATAAAAGCATTTAAGATCAAACTTATAAAATTGTTACGGTTTTCTAAAACTTTTTTTTTTTAACGAAACTTTGTTAATCTTTTTAAATGCATTAACTTTAATCATTCTTATATTTAAATTCGTTAAAGAGACTTTCGTAGTCGAAGAATGTCATCGTTTATTAAATCATAACAATTTTTTATTTTTTAATAAGATTTATTTTAGAAATGAACACTTTAACAATTTATATGTTTTAAATTAAAAAAATATATACAACTGTCAATTATATTTAAAAAACAAAACTTTTTTTCAGTAAATTGTTACTTTATTTAAAATCGTTTCGCTAATATAAAAACATTTGTTAAGAAGTTTTGATGTAATTAATTTCACTTTTTTAGAATGTTTTTTGAATAAGCTGCATTCAAACCATCATAGCAAAATGTAACTTGCGTGGTCATATAAAGGCGTGAAATCGCACGTCTTCCTGTGAAAGCCTGATTTAAAAATTGGGTATTAATTTTTAAAGTCTGTAAATTAAACACTAAAACATCTTTTTTTATTTGACTAGTTTCCATTTTATGAATTGCATTTGTTAAGAATAGAATGCGTATGATGATTTTTTGGATTATATTTTTTACTTTGAAACCCAGAGTTTTTCAAAACCGCACATTAATAGCCAAAATTTTTTAGCTAAATTTAACTACATGTACTAAATTTTAAGTCTGTTTTACAAGAAACAAAAAGCCAAAGCAAAACAATCTAGTAAAGTACTTAATGAACAATTTATACTCAAAGATGATTAAGAAATGGAGTTACGCTAATGTTTTATTTGTTAAGAAATGAAGTTACGCTAATGTTTTATTTGTTTATCTAAAATATTATCTATATATTATTGCAACATTGCAAGATAACTGAAATGTAACTACTTTGGTTGTCAGCCACTTTGTTTGGTTGTCAGCCACTTTGTTTGGTTGTTAGCCACTTTGTTTAGTTGTCAGAGGAAAAGCGATTAATGATGAAGTTTTTGTTGGAGCCTATATGCCAATATGGTTTCAAAAGGTTGAACAGAGCTTTAATGAATAGTTAGACATACCCTTTATCTGCTAAAACTTCCAGCGCACAATTCAAATGAACTATTAAATGATGTTATGCTATCAGTTAGATGTTCAGCTTGGTTAGCTTTTTCTGAGCCCATCATCGAGGACTTGCTTTGTTTAAATATTGTAAAAAATAGAAGGCAGTAGATAACAATTGTGGTAGTAACTCTGGTATAAAAAAGCCAGATATTAACTAATATGATTAGTTAATTTTGAAAGTTTTATTTTTACAAGTTTAAAAAGAATTGCAACTATAATATGTGCATTTAGCGTCGTGTTTATTATTCACGAGTTCGGGGATTGAGTCCTACATTCTGAAAAATGTTTTTAAATGTTTTTTAACATTTTTTTTATTGAAAGTTATTATTGTTGTATATTGAAAGTTACATTTATGTTTATTATCTACAAACCTCGACTGATATAGGGATAGGCGCAGTGAGTGTACATATATTGACTGATTTAGGGATAGGCGCAGTGAGTGTACATACATCCACTGATTTAGAGATAGGCGCAGTGAGTGTACATACATCCACTAATTTAGGGATAGGCGCAGTGAGTGTGCATACATCCACTAATTGAGGGATAGGTGCAGTGAGTGTGCATACATCCACTGATTTAGGGATTGGCACAGTGAGTGTACATACATCAATTAAGGATTTTGGTTCGGGCATGCATTCTTTAAATAAAAGATTAAAAAATAAACCAATCAGAAATCACTACCGTGACTTTAAGAAAAAAATTAAAGCAACGGTACCATTGCGTGAGCAACAGCGAAAAAAAAAAGCAAAACAGATTATATCTATAAAACATACATATATATACAAATATATAACATATACAACCCTCGGAATTAGTAAAAAGGAGGTTAATGAGGTTAACTCTTTTGTATCAATTTTTTTTTTGCCAACCTTATGCCGACCTTTAACAGTTTGACGTCCATAAAACATAGAAACAAGAAATCTTAAACACTTTAAGGTCAGTAGTTAGGATCAACATTGCCGAATGATATTTATAAAATAATGTTTATAAAATTTTCCTGCTATCAAAAAAATGTGGTTATATAATGATTTCTTACCTCAATCATGCTGTTTAAATACTTATGTTAAAAATTATTCGTCGGCATCGCCAAATGCCGACCCTAGTTTTTTTATTCGTGCCCATTTTTTTATTCATGTTGACCCTATTTTTTAATTCTATTTTTTATTTTTTTATTTTTTAATTCGGCATTGCCGAATGCCGAATTAAAAAAGAAGAATATTTTTATCTAAAGTACACATTATTTCCAATATTGTCTATCAAACATAAACCCTCCCCAAATAATAATAGATTATTGTTAATGTCTCTAATGATTTCTTATACTTATTAATTCTTTTACTTTTTAAGAAACTCATAAAGTGTATTAGCTTAACCAATCACACTTAAAAGAAGTGTTTTTTATTTCATAAAAATTATCATCATCAGGTTTTTTGAAGTTATGAACCTTCAGCTAAACAGCAACTGTTTAGAAAACCTTTGTCAACTCAAATCATAGTGTAGGTTCTGCAAAGTGCATAGCTTTTTAACATGATAAAATTTGAGACGCCAAGTTGTTTACTGTCACTATCTGAAGAACCTGTGTGAAATGTCTAAAAAGTTAAGTTATTCGTCAATTCCTGACATTAAAATTATTTTGTTTTATCTCCACTTTTTAAAAAAATTGAGTCGTTGATTGTGTTGTGTGCCTCAGAATAATGTTTTTCTACTGTATATGACCTAAGTTATAAGTAAAAAAGTTAAAAAACATAAGTTATAAAAAAAATTTATATGTTGTCTCCGCAAAATCAAGTCTTCTGAAGTTTTTATTTTTTAAATTGTTTTATCTCAAAACTCAAAAATGTGGAGATAGAACAAAATAGTTCTAACGTCATGAATTGTGACATTAAGAACAAATAAAGGTAAGTCATTTTTTTAAGTGAGCTTCACATCTCAACTGGTGAGATAAATGAGTCAAAGCTTTGTAGTCTTGTTACAAAGTCAGCCAAATTATTATCTCCCTAGTCAAGAAATAATTTAACATTACACTTGCACAAGACACACCAGAAATCTATTTAAATGTCAAAGGTCTTCTAAACCTGATAAAGGTTCAGAAGAAATGTTGAATTAACTTTTTTGTCACTTTTTGTGGTGTGAAACTTGAAAACATTGAGTGTGGCATTTAGTCCCCATATCATAGGGACCATTTTAGTGATTTTAATGAGTTAGATCTATTAAAGAATCTCTCTGAAAAAGCCACCTTCTATCAGTCTCCTGTTTTCATCCATACATTGCTTTGTTTATAACTGTTGTCGAAGCATGTTTTGGCAATAATTTTGATTCTGATTTTGAAAAAAAAAAATTAGAATTTTTCAAACAAGCTACTTCAATCTTTCTGTCTCATTAACACCAAAAGTACATACTGCCATCATGTTCCACAATTTATTTAAAAGAAAATAATCTTGGTTTATTTTGTGAACAAGCAGTAGAGGCCCTCCATTTAATATTCAAACCACACAGAGAAAGATAAAAACATCCTTTTTATTCAAAGCAGTTTCTCTATTGTGTTGTTGATTAAAACAGAATTGTTGATTAAAAAAATTTTATAAGAAATTTTTGTACTTAGCTTGTTATAAAGAAAGCATTATAAAAAATTTTATTATCTAAGGTTTTATTTAAAGTACAAAAAAATTTCTCTTTTTGACCAAGAATGTTCAGAGGTTTTAAATTCACATAAATAGCAATTTTTTATATACGTAGTTTTTTATTTATTGGTTTGCATTGGTATGGGGACCCAGTAGAAAATGACTTCATTGAAGAATAAGGCAACTCGCTAGAATTTGTTATATATAATTTATTATGTTATGATTTTCAAAACTTTTATCCAAAAAAAATATTGGACACCTTATTTTTCGCAAAATCTAACCAGTGTTTTTTAATATATATTTTTTATAGTTTTCTTCAAATTTTTTTTTTAATAATACATCTTATGTTTAACTTTGATTGGTAGGAAAAGTAACTACGTCAATTAATCCATGTGTCAATAAACCAAAAGGAACATACCCTGACTATCGTTATTGTGACAGCTATATAATATGTTATCCAGAAGGAGTTTATTATATGAGATGTCCTCCATTATTATGGTTTAATCCTGAAACAAAAAAATGTGATAGTCCTAAAAACATCAATTGTAAAGGTATTTTACAATAATTTATCATAATTTAGTCAATAAATTATCATAATTACAATAATTTATCATAATTTTCTAGTCAATTGTAAAGGTAATTTACAATAAGTTATCATAATTTTTCTAGCGTTTTTAAGTTTTAAATATATTTTAACTCCAATTTAAAAATACTGAATTAATAAAGTTGTACTCAAGTTTAAATACAGGCAATTAACATTTAGCATCTAAGCGTGGGTTGCCCCCAGTTGATGCCATGTCTTCATTAAAATGCAATGGGAGAATAGGGTCTTTTCCTGAACCTGGAAGTTGCTCAAAGTATATCGTATGTCAGATCAATAAAGAGGAAGCCACTAAAAGGTGTCCACCTGGTCTTCATTATCACCCAAAGTACATGGTCTGTGTACATAGTCACATGTATCCATGTATAAATGGTATGTAACAAAAAAATATGTCTATTAATTTGTTTCAAAATAAAAAAATATAAAATTCCAAATAACATTCACATAATTAAAACTTTGATATTACTATTGAACTTTTTTAATAATTGAATCTTTTCACTAAAGATATTTTTTTGTACTTTTTTTCTGCAAGTTGATATTTTTGTTTTTTGAATTTTAATTTTGCCATTTTGTAAAAAAATAAATGAAGTTAGAAGAATATCATAAATCAGAATAAATTTCCTGCCTAAATTTGAACTTGCTGTCTATACTTGTCTGTTTTAATAAATGTGAGCCAATATTTCTTAAATGTTACTGGATGTTTTATATTGTGTTAATAACGATATTAAACATCTTTTTCTAGTAAAATTTGCAAGTTTAAGATAAAATGTAAAGAAAACTTCATAGTCAAATTACAGTTTTTTTTAATTATTCTTGTGATGAATTGTCAATAATTTATCTCTATCAACATTTCACAAGCAATCCTCTAAGCAGATGACTGTCTTTATTGTTAGTAGTTGTTGCTAACCAATCACTAACTAATTACCCAACTGATGTAATAAAAAATTTGGCAAAATTTTTCAGAACAATTTTTCCAATGGGAAAACTATTTAAATATTTATAGACTCATAGTGTAGCCTAATCATAAGAAAATTTCAATAGTAATATAATAGACATAGAGACATATAGATATATATAAGGCTAAATATAATAGACATAGAGACATATAGAGACATGACAAACAAAGTTAAAATTTAAGTCTTTTTTTTGGAACATCGTACTAAATATGCTATATAAATATGCTATATAAATATATATATATATATATATATATATATATATATATATATATATATATATATATATATATATATATATATTATTTTAGTACTATTTTTATTAGGTACTTCTAGATTAAGCATTTGTGAAGGTAAGCACAATGGAACATTTCCCAATCCAGAAGCATGCAACAGCTACATAGTTTGTCGGGGAGGTTTGAAGTATCAAATAGAATGTCCAAAACCTCTTTGGTTTAATAAAGATAAAAAGCAATGTGATTTTCCAGAAAATGTTAAATGTGAAGGTAAAATATTTGTTTGTTTTAGCTTCTTAATTATATATATATACTACTGTGATCAAAAAGTAAGGTGAATTTTTTTATAAAATGAAAAATCTTTATTTATTCTTCCAAATCTGTATCGTCCCCCTCAAAATAATCCCCCCTGGCCCCAATGCACTTTTGCCAACGTTTTTTCCAGTCTTCGAAGCATGCCAAAAAGTCCTCGGTAGGGATAGCCTTCAATGCGCGTGCCGATTCACGTTGGATCTCTTCAATGGACTCAAAACGATTTCCCTGGAGTGGTCTCTTGAGCTTTAGGAACAGCCAGAAGTCACACGGTTCTAAGTCGGGCAAATACGGTGGTTGTGGAGCAACATGGGTAGAGTTTTTGGCAAAAAACTCACGAAGAACCAGTGCTGTGTGCGAAGGCGCATTATCGTGGTGCAAAATCCAAGAGTTATTGGCCCATAATTCCGGCCTCTTTTTGCGAATAGCTTCACACAAATGTGGCATAACGCTTAAATAATATTCCTTGTTGACAGTTTGGCCAGTTGGAAGGAATTCGTAGTGCACGACACCACAATAATCAAAGAAAACAGTCAACATGACCTTGATTTTTGAGCGACTTTGACGTGGTTGCTTCGGTCTCGGCTCGCCTTTTTCACGGTATTCACTCATTTGGTCGGTTGTTTCAGGGTCGTATGCGTATAATTTGTTTGTAGACGTCTTGATAGTCAGAAAGCATTGCTTCACACGCTTTAACGCAACGCTCTTTTTCAAAGAAATTGAGAAATTTCGGCACCAAGTGTGATTTGAGTCTTCTGAGGCCCAAATGATCCTTCAAAATCGCTTGCACCGACCCAAATGATATTCCAACCATGTCAACAAGGTCTCGAATGGTTAACCGACGATTTGCAAGCACCAATTCTTTGATTTTGTTGATATGGCGATCATCAATCAAAGTTGATGGTCGTCCGGAGCGTTCCAAGTCATCAACACGTTCTCGGCCTTCTTTGAAGTATTTGTACCACTTGTAAACATTTTTTTGAGACATAGTCTCTTCACCGAAGGCCTTTTGCAACATTCGATATGTTTCAGCAGCAGAAATATCATTCCGCAAACAAAATTTAATACACACACATATATATATATATATATATATATATATATATATATATAATATATATATATACACATATATATATATATATATACATATATATATATATATATATACATACATGTATACATATATATATATATATATATATATATATATATATATATATATATATATATATATATATATATATATATATATATATATATATATATATATATATATACATAACAAAATTTTTTTTGGATAAAAATGAAAGAAAAAATAACAAGAACTTACTATAGGCTCAGGCTTGGTCGGGAAGCGGGTGCGATCGCACTCGATAACTGACCACGGAAATATTATTTAGTTGCGAAAAAATGGCCAGATTTTTCGGTCGTTTTATGTATGTTTCCTTGTTTGTCCGCACAATAATAAGTTCATTTTATCGTAAATTTTAAAAACTTTTGTTTTACAGACTTACATGGAAACATACATAAACTTGAATGTTCTCAAACATCTTAGTGCGGAAAAATAAAAAAAGAATATTTGCGAACACAAAAAACCCGCCAAATCTACGAATAACTAATTCTATTGGTTCAAAAAATACTAACCGAAATTTATTAGTATTCTGTTGAAATATTTTAAAAATTGTATTTTTTGAATTTTGTTGCATTTTTGTTGAGATTTCTAGCATAAATTATTTTAAAAATATACTATCAAAGGAACTATTATTTTAATTCTTGGAGCCACATCTACAAAGCTATAAATGTTTTAAACTAGTATTATTTGGTTACAATAATAAATAATTTAAATTTTTTAACTTGTCAACGTTTTGTCGATATCAAGTAGATTTTATTAGTATATTCTTGTTTTTTCTTTCTCCCAAGAAAAAAAAGTTTTTAAGTTCTTAGAAATTGGTTTACTAACTTCAATTATTTTTGCTGCAGCCATTCTTACAAACTTGTTATATTTAAAGTTACTTTTTTTGTTTTAAATACTAATTAAAATTATAAAGCCGACTCACTAAACATCACCAGCAGTATTTGAAGCAGTTCTGTTTCCTCCTCACAAAGTAATTTAACGTTTTTTGTTAATTTTTATCTAGCTAATTGAATTTCTACAGTAACTCAATGATATAATTATTTTGTATTATTTTTGTATATTATTTAAAAATATTTTGTTTATCTTACTAAAAAGAATTGTTTTAAATGTGTTGAACTTTTTAAACTACGCAAAGCATAAAACAGTTATTGAAAAAACGTTTTTATTTATAATTAAATCATCTGGTTGAATCTTGTTGGAATTTTTAGGGCATGGGGGCTGCATTATTTTGGCGGCCTTTTTATGTGCCACAGCATAAAAATGAATAAAAAAAATACTGAATGGTCCTCTTGACTATTTCCCCTAACACTGTGAGTCCCGGGGTTATAGCCTTACTACCCCCACCTCACCTCCTCAATCCAGCACTGGAAATAAGACAAGTATATAAATAAAAATTATATATACTCTTTGATAAATCGAAGAACATTTGTTTCTTTATAGTTGTTACTTTATATAAAAAATGTCGCTTAATTTTATAAAAAAAGTTATAAAAGAGCGACACTTCAAAAATAATTGCTCTAATAAATTTATTTTGCTTAAAGTCTTTTTGCGTTAAAAGCTATTTTTTTGTAACTGTCTCTCATCGGTCCAGTTAATCTTAATGCGCTTTTTTGTTTGTTTTTGAAATGTTCTCAAAACGACTAAAAAATCTGGCTGGTTTTTCGCAACTAAATAATATTTCCGTGGTCAATTATCGAGTGCGATCGCACCCACTTCCCGACCAAGCCTGTAGGCTCTGAGAAAGTTTTTTAAACTTTAAAATTTTTTTTTTTCATTTTTAGCAATAAGAACAGGTGCTTCTAATGACACAAAAACTGATATCAAAGATTCACAAGAAATTGTTAATGGCTTCAAAGACATAACCTTTACTGAAACTACACCACTGACTAAAACAAACTATTATGTCAAAACCTCTAAAAAATTTTCAACTCAAATTTTGGAAGTTACACCCACTGTTTCGCAAACTTTTTGTAGCGGTAAAGCACCAGGAAATTATGCGCATCCTGAAAGATGTGATGGGTTTGTAACATGTACTGGCATTTCTTATGTAGTGCAAAGCTGCCCTAGTGGATTATGGTTTAATGAAACGCAAAATGTTTGCGATTATCCAATCAACGTCCATTGCATTTGTAAGTTGCTGTTGTAACTGTTATTATTAAATTGCAACACTCTTTGCAAATATCTATAGTACTCATTGAAATATCTTAAAGTGCTAAGTAATAACTTGGAACAATTTATATTAAAAAACATTTATTCATCTTAGCATTCATTATAAAAATCTGTGCAACTTAAATTATATCTTGTAAGTTGATATTCCAAAAGTAAATTGTGTTTTTGTGTTTATAACCTATTTTATTATTAGCATGGTTATCAAAAATATCAACAACTTCAATAACTGAAACTTTACCAATTTTGCCTTCAAACATATGTGTTGGAAAAAAACTGGGCAACTATGCTCATCCTAACAGTTGTAGTGTATTTATCACATGCACTGGTGTTCTCAGTCAAATGCAAAGTTGTCCTCGTGGTTTATGGTTCAATGAACAACAAAATATTTGTGATTACCCAAAAAATGTCAACTGTATACGTAAGTAACTTATTGCTAATATAGAAACAAAAACTTTTTTATAAAGTTAAAAAAAGTATAAATATTAAAAAAATATATTGTCCTTGATAAATTATATTTTAGAAATTATATGAGTATGTTTTATTTCCCTTGTTAATAATGGTATCTATATTCCTTGATAACAATGGTTTTTACATTCTTTTAATAACAAGGGCATCTAACATTTAATATAGTTTAAAAAGTTGTTTAAAAATATAACTTATAAATTGTTATTTTAAAGAAACAGTTTTAGTTATTAAAAAATATTTAAAATTTAAAATTTTTTAATTATTTAAAGCTTAAAAAACAAAAAAATAAACAACCGTGTTGTATTGTGAGCTAGATTAACGAGAATATACAGTATACCTAAAAGTTAATTAAACTTAAACATTAAAATAAATTTACAAAAAAAATTTAAAAAAACACATCTGTAATATTAAAGTAACTTGAAACAAGATAAATAATATTAATTGTAAAAAATAAAAATCGGTAATAGTTTGTATATTTCTTTAGTTAGTATATTTCTTTACATAGTACATAAACTACAATTTACATTATAATTATGTGTTATGTGTTAAGATTGTGGGAGTAGGAATTGTTAGTTTACTATAAGACTAAACAGTCTATCTTTTACTGTATACTTAACTTAAACTTGTACAAGCTCCATATATGTTGACTTGTAGCTTAAAAAGTTGAATTAATAAATGATTTTATTTGACAATCTATGCAAAATTTAGAAATTTTCTTGCAGCCTCATCTCTCTACCAAATATTAAGATCCATTGATGCAAGTTTAGCTATAAAATCTAGAATTGAATTTGCACATAATTTTCTAAAAGATTTTTTTTTTTTTTGTATGAAGTTTAATAGATACAAAACTCTTTTGTTTGAAATAAATATTTTGGAAGTAACTTACAAATTATAACAAGACTGGTTTAAATGGATGGAAGAAGTCCAATGTACATATTCCTACCACCACTAAATTTGAAATATTTTTTATACCTTGCTAAATTACTTTCACTCAGTGAATTTCACTGATGAAGTTAACTTACTTTACCATCCCCAAATAAATATATTTGAGGATGTGATAACTAAAAAATAACATTTAATTTAAAAAAAAAAGAGTAATAGTGCATATATGTATTGTTTCTTAAATTCAAAATTGATTGATAGTTTTTGACCCAACCTCACAAGATTTTCAAAACTTTGGCACTGTGTTAAAGTTTAATACTTTTTTATTAATTTTCAAAATAGTAGATAATACATCGTTAAATAAAAATTTCCCCTATATGACAGTCGGTACTATTATTGCTCATCAAATTAATGTTAAGCTTTTATCAAAGTTTGTTGCAGCTTTTTAGGTAATTTTTTTAGCAGGCTTTTAATATGCATAATAAAGATCATTATTAATTTATTATTGAAAATAAATGCAATTAAAAGTTGCAATTTCATCATGGTTATAAATGCTTCAATATTGAATTTAACCTTTGCAAGTCTCTCAAAAAGTATAACTCTGCATTAGTTAATTTTATTTGCTTTTTTTTTACAAAGCTTGCTTTTCATAAAGGTATGAATCAAGGAGAAACATATAAAAGTTTCCCAGTGGGCACGCGTTGCCCAGGGTATGTCTGCCAGATGTCCAGACATCCATAAGATATCTGACGGTAGTCCCTCAGACAACGCATCCCCACTTGGTTGCATTTATGGAAGTATAAATTGAGAAACTGCGTATGAAAGTTTGTATTTATGGAGGTCACACATCACCTCACATATATATACACACACATACATGTGTGTATATATATGTGTGTGTGTGTATATATATATATATATATATATATATATATATATATATATATATATATATATATATATATATATATATAAATATATATATATATATATATATATACTGATTTTTACATTTTAGTTTCAACTCCATCATTCAGCTGTTTTGGAAAGATACCTGGTAGTTACCCCGCAGAAAAATGCAACGAATATTACATATGTGCTGGGGATGAATTGCCATTAAAGAAACAATGTCCTTTACACACAAATTTTTTCCCGAAATCAGGGATGTGTGTGTTATCTTATTCTTACTCTTGCGAAGGTAGAGTTTTAAATTTTGGTAAAAAGTTTTATTCTCTTTTTAAAGTTCCAAGAGGTTGAGATTTTTTTTAAAACAAAAAGTTTTGCAAAAAATTAACTTGGAAATGTTTTATGCTGATTAAATCATATCAGAAAGAAATAATATTTTTTTGACCCCAACTGAACTTCTGCAGTTTTAATAAAGTTATAAATTCTACAGTTCGAATAAAATTTTAAAATTGAAATTTACAATTACATGTGGATGTTTTAAAATTAATTGAATATTTATATTAATAAGTTTAATATAAATTATAATATGATTTAGTTGCAATTTTTACAAAACAGCAGCTCATTTATAATGCTTTCAGCAAAAAATTAGGCGAGTTTGAAATTTTTTGAACCTAAACATTAACTTGAATTTCCAGACCTACTTCATATTTCCAGGCCTACTGCTTATACTTAATGGAGCAAAATATTTTTTATTACTTTATTTAGTAAAATCTCTTTTATGTAAAAGTACAACATATAGTAACCATATAAATAAGGAAGAAACCATAATATTAAGGAAAAGAAAAATTCTTTTAGTCAATCTAGTGCTATGGCTCAAAGCATGATTTTGTAACCCTTTAACAACTATGGGAAATTGGTGTCCCCCAGTTTCAAAATGTTTTTTTTATTAAATTTCAGTTAAATTTCTGTCATTGATTACCTTTATAGTATACCTTAGATGCTAATAATTATTATTCTGGCAGAAAAATTAAAAATCAAAAAATTTACTTTATACATGATATAGGTAACTTTCTTACAATTTGCTAATAGGAGTAATTTGTTTTCAACACTTAAAACAATAACTTAAATGTAAGTCACTTACAAATCTTAGATCATTATAACATTTTTACGATATTAATTTATATTATGATGCTCTATGAAAAGATTGAGCTGGTATTGTATTTCCAATTTTTACTCTATTCGTTAAAGAAGATTTTTTCGTGTAGTACTATTAAAACTGTAATGTTTATGTAGCGGTATTAGAATTTTATGTTTATATAGGGTTAACTTTTTAAAGGTTAACTTATAATAATTGATTAAAGGTTAACTTTTAATAACAATTTTATTAACTTCATTTAGTTTAAATAAGTTACATACAGTAAAAGTTTCATATAGTGTCATAAAACTTTTAATGGGTCATTATAGTATCATAATACTATATAAGCAGCGCCCATTATAGTACTTACAGAAAAATGAAAGAGAAGCAACATTACGACATTGTGACAATAATTGAAGGTGTGTTTTTGCATCTTGTCTAAAAGAGAAAGGGAATCATTCAAAGATCTGCTGGACCACAATCCACAAGCACAGATTTGAAACTTATAGAGATGAAAAATAAAATCTGGAGTAAGAAAGGGGAAAGCACAATAAAGAGATGCTAATTAAGCAATGGATTTATATATGTGGTCCAAGAAAGATTGGAATTAAGAGTTAATCCTAGATGAAGTGTAGATGACTTATCCAGTATATTACGATTCATAAATATAGGAAGATCTAGACTGTTGCGAAAAAAAAGTTTTATTTAATTTAAAGTTTACCAGCCACTGAGAGGCCCATGCTGTAGCAGAAGTGAGATCCTTTTTAAGCTCAATTTAGTAATTTAAAATTACTCAAATTGTTGGCTTCTTATCAAGACAAGAATAAATTGTAGTATCGTTAGCAAACAATGCCACCTTGATCTCCCAGATCACGATGTGATAGTTTCTGGGAGATCATTAATGTAAATTAGAAAAACATAGGGCCAAGAATAAAACCTTGAAGAACCCCTTAAGTTACAGAAAATGAAAAATATTGTGCTAGATGGACGGCACCGTCTAGCACAATTTTTATACTATGATTTGTAAGGAATGATTCAATAGTTTTAAAGATGTTACCTGGCAAACTGTAAGAAGAGAGCTTATAGAGAAGACCAGCATGCCAAACTTTATCAAACGCTTTAGGATTGTGGAGAGCAATAGCCTTAACCGCTCCACATCTATCTAATACACGATGAAACCTATCGGTTATTATAGTTAACAAATCAGCAGTAGAATGAAAACATAAAAATCCATATTGATGATCAGAAAGTAAGCTATTAGATTCAAGATAAGAGATTAAGTGTTTGTTCATTAAAAACTTAAAAACCTTGCTTATGATAGGAATAAGACTAATGGGGAGGTAGTTAGACCAGTCAGATTGTTCTCCAAAAGTTTTGAAAATAGGAACAACAGATGCCATTTTCCAAAAGTATAGAAAAACTCTTATTAGCACTAATTAAATAGTTTTGAAAGTATAAACAACAGATAAAGAGAACATTTCTGCAAGACTATAACAGGTATGTTGTCCGGACCACAAGCTGTTAAAGAGTTTAAGCAGGAAATTACTTTAGATACAAAAGCTGGAGTGATAAGAAGGTCAGGCGATGGATGAACCTGTTTATTGGCTATATAAGGTATAACGTGACTAGTGGAATCAAGAGTTGATGTAGATTAAAAGTTCTTAGCAAATTCAGCTTTGTCTTTAGGTGAGGTGACAAAATCTGAACCTTACAAGAGAAGTAGAATAACAGATTTGCCAATATTATAGATACTGTTAAAGATTCTCCAGAAGTCACGAGAGCCTAGGTTTTGAGATAATATACAAGATTTTGTGACCTAAGAATAGCAGGCTTTGGCTTTAGACAAAGCTTTTTTACAATGGTTTCTAGCAATATTAAACAGACATCTGTTTTCTAGAAAATTGTTATGGCGATATATATAGAAGTAATGTTTATGATTGAAAATTGCAACAGCACAATGTAAGGAAAACCATGAAGTAGAGTGAGGTTTGACTTGGATTTGTCAAGAGTGAATAAAAGACTCCATGCCAGTCTGAATCCTAGAAGTTACACAAGAAGCACATTTTTTAGCAGAAAGACAAAATTATTTCTACCCAAGGGTTATCACAAAAAATCATAAAAAGAATTCCAGTCAGCTTTAAGGTAGTTGTAAGAGGTATGATATTAGAGGGATTTTGATAATGAAGAAGAATGAGATAATAGTTTTAGAGAAATTAAAACGTGGTTAGAAGCGCCTAAGGGTGAATGTGGAGAAACTGAGCACTGAATAGGATCAGAAACAAGACATAAGTTGAGTAGAGAAGGTAAATAGTCTGGATGGCGATTTGGAAAGTTGACTATTTGTGTTAGAGATTCAGATAGGCAAAAGTTGTGGGCTTTAACACTTGCAGAGTCACTGACAAAAAAACCACTTATAGCTTTTTATTTCTGAAGACAATGTAACAACACTTTATTTTATTTTCGGCTTTTATATATAGTTCTAATTAATGGTTTTAATTACTTAATATTATTACAACTTATTTGGGAGATATTTATACAAAATCTCTAAAGCTTATGAGAAGATAATGACAAGCTAATTTGAATAAAAGTAATTTTTTCTGAAAAAAAAGTTAAAATGATCAAAATGATTTTCAGTTAAATTGTCAAGAAATATTACATATTCTCTGAGTTGTGTAAATGTTAAACTACATGTGTAAGTCAGCTGTTTTAATTCCTCTTCAAATTTACTATATACTTTTATATCAATACCCATCAATGAGGCACATGCAATAATTTCTGCATCAGTTGCCCATTATCACTCATACCACTTTCATTAAAATATGTTATGATTGATTGGTTCAAATATGAAGTCATTTTATCATTAATTTGTGCATACATGTCTTACAACTTTTTCTCTTATAATTTCATAATTGCTTTCACTGCCTGTAATGATATAAGATATTTCATTTTATATTCACAAGGTTCTGTAGAGATATTTAGGACATGATAGTAGATTAACATCTGATGTAAATATATTTCTGGTTATACAAATTTCAAATTTTTCAGAAATTGAACTTCTCATTTCAATAGTTGCGTATTTTCCAGTCTTATCATTAGTAACTTCCATATTCACTTCATTAAATGTAGTTTCTTGTTCATCACTAGTTATTTTTTCTTGTTTATCACTAGTTATTTTTTCTTGTTCATCACTTGTTATTTTTTCTTGTTCATCACTAGTTATTTTTTTTTGTTCACCACTTGTTATTTTTTATTGTTCATCACTTATTATATTTTCTTGTTTATCACTAGTTATTTTTTCTTGTTCATCACTAGTTATTTTTTCTTGTTTATCACTAGTTATTTTTTCTTGTTTATCACTTGTTATTTTTTATTGTTCATCACTTATTTTATTTTCTTGTTTATCACTAGTTATTTTTTCTTGTTCATCGCTGTTATTAGTTGTGATTAACTATGTTAATAAATAAACAAAAATCTTATATATATAGTATAAAATGACATATAACTGGTACATTGGAAAAATTTAACAAATTGCAACATCAATTGTGATGTCAATAAAATATATCAATTTTTTTAAACAAGATTTTTAAAAAGATTTAAAACATTTATAAATCACCTCTTTTCTGGAGATCAAAGATTCTTTGTTTACGGCACTCAAACAATAAATGTTTCTACAAAACCATTTTTGAGGTAGTTTACTTTAAAAATATAACTTGTAAAGTAATTTTTTGTTTAACCACCATACATTCACCTGATGTATCTGTGTTTAAAGGATTAGCAGGAGTAATATCATGTTTGTTCATTTACTGTCATGATACTATGCATTGCATAATTCAAAACTTGATTGCCATTACATTTCAGAATCATTATCAGTTGCAGTACAACATCTTTAATTGATCTTTAATTAACCATCTTTAATAATTCCAAAATATTCCCTGAATTACAGAAAACAAAATATGTATGATATTCAACGGCAACATTTTGCATTTTTACATCTTAGAAATCTATCAGATGATTCCACATTAAGTACAGGAGGTAGGTTCAATAGACAACGTGATTTTACCAGAATGATTTACAGAAATTATAGTTTTATAATTGATATAAAATATTTCTAGACCTTGTTTTTCATATTTTTTGCTGAAATAAAAAGACTGTTTTCA